TGCTCCACTAATTAAGCACTTTCAACTGACCCCAAGGTCAATGACCGTATGACCTTGACTGTGACCTATATGCTAAAAACAGTTTTTTTCCGAACTTTCGCCATAACTTTTGAACCATAGGAAAATGAGAATTCATAAATTGGTATGCTTACTCCACTAAATTAAGTTCTTTCAAATACCAATAAGGTCAATGACCTTGTGACCTTGACTGTAACTTATCTGCTAAAAATAGCTTTTTTGAACTTTCCCCATAACTTTTGAACCACAAGAGATATAGATTTTTATTTGGTATGTATACTCCACTTATTAAGTGCTTTCAAATGACACCAAGGACAATGATTGTGTGACCTTGACTGTGAACTATTTGCTAAAAATTGCTTTTTAGAACTCTGTTGCCGCCGGGCGCATAGTGTTTCACAAACACATCTTGTTTTCTAATTTTCCTATTGTCAAAATTTGAACCACGATACACCAAAGAGAACCGTGCTTGTTTATAAATAATCGCGAAAACAAACAAAAAAGAATTAACCTATGCTTTTTATTAAGAAATGAACCCACTTCTCTAACAAATAACTCCATTGCAGCAATGAGCAAAAGAGGGATTGAAAGCTCTAGTTCCACAACAACTTGTACCCGAGCCTTTCCAGTTTATGACCCCATTGCAGCAAATATAGAAAAAGGATTGAAAGCTTTAGTTCCACAGCAACTCGTGCCCGATCCTTTCCAATTTATTACTCTGTTGCAGCAGATATAGAAAGAAGGTTTAAAAAGCTTCTTGTTCCACAGCAACTAGTGCCCGATCCTTTCCAATTTATTACTCCATTGCAGCAGATATAGAAAGAAGGGTTGTATGATCGACTTCCACAACAAGCTGTAAAAAAAAGAGGTTGATGACCCTTAAAAGAAGTGTAAGAAAAATCGTTCCATGCTGAAATAATTATTTTAAAAAATATCAGAGAACTGTTTTACTAAACAGATGAAAATTTTAGTCAAACAGAATCCTAGGATTCATTTGTTTTTTTAATTTATTGCAAATTTATTTCTAGGTGGAAGTTTTGGGGGGTTTCTTCCATAAAAGAATATTTAAAAACATCGTTAGAGCACCCATATGACAAAAATGTTGGTAATTTTCTGTGACACTATAAGATAATTTACTTTTGTTTCTTCAAAATTAATCTTTATTCATACAAAACTGATAAAAAAAAATTATCAATTTTTAAAAGAATAAGTCTGCCATGTTGAAAACTTCGCTGCCTTGATAATTTTGCTACAAGTCATACATGCAGTCAAGAAATATATAATCACATAGATTTTCTTATATAAAATGCATCACCATCAACAACGCCCTCAACACCGGGATGTACTCTTCGCAATTGTTAACCTGACCGCATTATTATTACAGGAATTAATCACCGTGAAATTAACCGTAGTGCTTTTTCTGGGTTTAAACCCCCGTCTTCATGTATACATTTAGCTTTTTACATTAATAACATTTAAAATATTACAGTAACAAGTCGCTTTATATAAAGACCCTCAAATATAACGAGAGCCCAATTGGATATGGCGGTAAAAGTCCATTTGCGAATCCTGTTTAATTTTTTCTGAGATAGATTCCTGTTTGGAATTAAACTTAAATTACGTAAACTAGTTCGTGAAGGCAAATAAATACATAAGAATAATACATACCCTTTTCCATATAACATCCTTTTTACCCCAGACACCAATATCAGCTTCAATATCACACCTGATTAGCCCGAAACCTTCAGCCCTCTACTGATATTGGTGTCTCGGGCTTATAAGGATTTGATATGGAAAAAGGGTATGTATTATTATGTTTATTACATGTGTGTACATACTTAGTAATAAAATACAGCAAAATTAAGTTGAGAAGAAAATAAGTAAATAATCATGCATTGACTTCTTACATGTACATGGTCTGATGTTTCATACGGGTTGGGGTTGTTTCTATTACAATGCGCTTGATCCGTAATTTGAAAATAATTATTATTTGAAATTAAAGGATCGTTATTTACAAAAAGTTAAAATTAAGAGAAAATGAACCCCCCGAAAAAATATGTGTATGGTCACAAGTACTGTTTTGTGGTTTAATGTACAAGGGGTGTGATATTAATTATCCATATTAGCCCTACAGGGCTATTACCAATTTAGGGCTGATGGCATTGTGACGTCAGGCATATCCTGTGTTTATTACTAACTATGTAATAAATGAGTACATCTCCATTTATCTTTCAAGAAATAGGTAATATATATAAAATGTCTGTTATAAGAATTATAATAAAAGATACAACAAACCTTTTCCAAATGAATTTGCAATGGAAGGCAAAGGAGTGAAACAAATGCCAAATAGAAAATCATCGTGAAGTACTTTACGTGCAATGAAGACTACAATAAAAACAAAACATTTAATTTTGAAAACCGTTATTTTTTCCCTCAATTATATATTGTTAAAACATTAGGTTATTTTATAAATTGAATTTTAAAATCATTTTTCTTGAAATTTCTATATCAAGATCCTTAAAATATCTATTTTACAAAGTCGATATATTATGCTTTTAATAACCTTACCTTCATATATCCTCTGCCGTATTGCTGGATTCAACCCAGAAAAGGTTTAAATAACGCCATCAAGTTAATTTTTCCGCAGATGTCAAATATTATTGATCAACAATCCGACATCCGGGAAAAAATTATAGCTGGTCATCTTGCAAAACGAATTTATATTTGAAGCCCCCCAGAAAAACAGGGAAATTAAAACTAAATGTTTATCACTATAAAGATGACCCACCCTTGCATTAGAATCTCTGATAGTAAGTTGAGCAGTGAGCTCGAGGCATCTTGTTCGTACCGGCAATTATTGCTGACACGGCACCTCGATATACACGGTCATCCGACGGAGCGGTTACCTCGTCTAACAGTACTTTCGAAAACGCGGCGTAAGGATCAACTCTTATTGCTATAACCCTGCCCTACGAGGGCGACTAGTTTTTGTCCTAGATTCTTTTTTATTTGATAGAAATTTCAAGATTTTCCTACATGTATATATTAATCCAAATACTGAAATTACTCATGGGAGTTGAACATTATGTAAAATAAAATCTTTGATCGTTTAAGTTAAGTGAGTGAACAATATTATCATTTCAATATATATAATATTTCAATAATATTCAAATACAGACATCTTGAGAAAGGCATTCAGAGACACTGAATAGCAAAAAAAATGCATGGGCCATAATGCCTGCCTGCCTACATTTGTCCTGTTTTTATACCCCCTGCTTGAAAAGCGGGAGGGTATTTATTAATCGGGATGTTAGTCCATCTGTTTGTTAACTTTAGGTATACCCATCTCTTATCTGCAACTCCTCTTACATCACTGACTGAAATTTTCATAGAATCTTTATCAACCATTGCCTGTTTGTAGATTTTCCATTACTTTTTCATCCTACACATATTTTGGGTTTCCCATTGCCAAACATGGACACTGCCATTATATTCATATTAGAGGCGGTTGATCATTTATATCATTCACTGCTCACAGTACCTCTAGTTCATCTTCAAATTTGTAATATTTTTTTCCTTGGCACCTTAACCCATGTGTTATGAAAATTTCAGTTTCACAGGAATAATATCAATGTTGATAAAATGTGGATTTCCACACATCATTCTTTTAAGAGCTAACAGGTTTGTTATATAAAACTTCTCTGTGAATATAAATGTATTTCAATTATAACGAAGTCAACATTATACATAGAGTACGTCAGAACTTAAACTTAATTTTTTTAATATTGTGAAGAAACAAGAGGCCCATGGGCCACATCGCTCACCTAAGTAACTTTGGTGATGCAGTTCTTTACCATATTTTCCCTATTCTTACATCTATTGTGGTCCCTGCCCCCCCCCCCCCCCCCAATCTTGATTTTGATAATTTAGAATATACACTACCCCCAGGATGCTTTGACATAGGTTTCAGTTTTCCTGGCCCACTGATTCTTGAGAAGATTGACTGATTGATTGTATATTGTTTAACGTCCCTCTTGAGAATTTTTCACTCATATGGAGACGTCACCGTATGCCGGTGAAGGGCTTCAAATTTAGACCTATGCTCGGCACTCAGGGCCATTGAGCAGTGAGGGTTCTTTATCGTGCCAGCGCCTACCGTGACACGAGACCTACGTTTTTAAGGTCATATCCGAAAGACCCATGACTTTCACTTCTGATGCCGAGCGCTTGGAGAAGGAACAGTCGCTACCTGTTTTTTTGACGTCTTAGGTTTGACGCGGCGCCGGGAACGAGAATCGAACCCGGGCCTCCCGATTACAAAGCGAACGCTCTACCTTCTTGAGAAGATGATTTTTTCCAATATATTTCTACATAAAACCTGGATCTTGAAGCCCCTTCCTACCCCCAGGGTCATTATTTTAGCAATTTAGAATCTACACTTCCCCAGGATACTTCCATAAGAGTTTCAGCTTTTCTAGCCCACTGGTTCTTGAGAAAGAGATTTTTAAAGATTGTTCCTATATATTTCTATGTAAAACTTGGATTCTCTATTGTGGCCCCGTCCTACCCCTGGGGGCCATGATTTTAACAATTTAATATCTACACTACCCAAGGATGCTTCCAAATAAGTTTCAGCTTTCCTGGCCCAGTGGTTCTTGAGATGAAGATTTTTTAATGATCCCACCATATTTTCGTCTTTTCTTGATTATCTCCCCTTGTAATGGGACTTTGCCCTTCATTTTAAGAATTTAAACTCTTCTTTACCTAAGAATGCTTTGTACCAAGTTTGGTTAAAATTGGCCCATTGGTTCTTGAGAAGAAGTCGAAAATGTGAAAAGTTTACAGACGGACGGACGGAAGACAGACAAAATGTGATCAGAAAAGCTCACTTGAGCCTTCGGCTCAGGTGAGCTAAAAAGCAATACCGAGTTAAAAACAAATATCAAATGACCAAACATAAAAACAATGGTATATGTGAGAGTCTGTGTGCATACAAATTATCTGGTATGTAAATGAGGTTTTCCTTTTATTTAAAAACTAGAAATATGTCCAAAGGACATGACTGCCCCGCCTAGTATATATTAGTAAAGCAACATGAAAATTTGTATGGGTGTAAAATTTGATCAGAATATCTTGAATGGTGATGCATGTGAATTGCTTGTTTGGAAAATATAGGTCAGATCCAGCATCCAAAGCAAGTCTGGTACTGTCCATCCATAGATGCATCCTCCATGCAAGTCTGGTTCAGGTAAGGCTTATAGTTACTTGGGAATCAAAATATAGGTCAGATCCAGCATCTGAAGCAAGTCTGGTAGTGTCCATCCCTAGATGCATCATCCATGCAAGTCTGGTTTAGGTAGGGTTTATAGTTACTTGGGAATCAAAATATAGGTCAGATCCAGCATCCGAAGCAAGTATGGTAGTGTCTATCCTTAGATGCATTACCCTTGCAAGTCTGGTTCAGGTAGGGCTTATAGTTACTTGGGAATCAAAATATAGGTCAGATCCAGCATCTGAAGCAAATCTGGTAGTGTCCATCCCTAGATGCATCATCCATGCAAGTTTGGTTCAGGTTGGGCTTATAGTTACAGGTACTTGGAAATGAAAATGTAGGTCAGATCCAGCATCCAAAGCAAGTCTGGTAGTCATGTCTATCTCTCGATGCCTCATCCATGCAAGTTTGGTCCATATAGGGCTTATAGTTTCTTAGGAATGGACCTGCTCCAAAAACTTCAACCTGGTCACTCATCTGAAAAATGTAGGTCAGATCCAGCATCCTAAGCAAGTCTGGTAAGTCTGGTACTTTGTCTCAATGTTCATCTTGAATGGTATGTTTAGAGATGCATCATCCGTGAAAACTTTGTCTCAACATGTGAAGTTTGATCAACACCATCTTGAATGGTGCATGCTTTAAAACTGAGCTAAACACTAATTTAATGAAAAGTCTTGGATATTCACTTTGAAACTTAGCTCAAAGGAATGGTCAAGGTCAAAAAATGACGGAATGCAGTTGCAAACACTATAGCTCTCATCAAGATATATGACTTCATTTTGTTGTTTTTAATTTTGATAAAAATATCTTGGAGTTTTTCTTTTATTATTTGAACAGAGCTAAACGCAAGTGTGACTGCTAATTTGGACGGAAAGTTTTTATGAATGAATGACTTCATTTAAAGAGAAAATATTCAATGAAAAATGACAAACACTATATGCACCGGTAAAAAAGAAATTCATGGCGGGGCTGTCAGGAGTCGGACTTCAGGAAAGATATATGACTTCATTTTGTTGTTTATCTAATTGTGTTTCTACTAAAAAAAATGAGTTTCATTACGAAAAAAACTTTTGAGGTTTTATTATTTACTTTAACAGAGTACTAATATTCACCGCTTTTTGGCAGGTGATACTGCTAATTTGGTAATAAATACACGCCTCCCATAATGTGTTTTACCGGGGTATATATTGACTTCATGTGTAAAGAGGAAAATATTCATGTTAAAAGCTTCTATAAATTCTGTGCACCGGTAAACATATAAGCAATGTCCATTGCTAAAAATCCAAAATCCGGGACTGTCGAATAAAACAGTAAAATAGATGTGCACACTTGCAATATGTACTAAAGATTCTGTGAAAGTTTCAATAAAATTCACTCAGTAGTATAAGAGGAGTTGTGGATAAGAGATAAAGCGTAACAGACGGACGGACGTACAAACGGATGGACGGAAATCCCGATTACTATATACACTCCCACTTTTCAAGCGGGGGGTATAATAAGATTACTTCATCATTACATTTACTTACATTTCAAATTATAAAAATAAGATCAATTCAGGAGAAAATGACATGAACTATTTGTGGCGGACTTTTATGCATGTTTTCTGTTGAATATCATCGGAGTAAATCGGTCGACACAGTAGCCTCGCTTTCGGCTCTTTATAATCAACACAAATTACTGTGCCTGTTAAATGCGTGATGACCATTGGAATATTGAACATAGTTCAACCCCAAAAAAATCCCAACAAAATCAGAAGTTCTAAAATTAAATACTTTAATTCTATCAATTACTAAAAAAATATATTTGCCTGAAATATATATCACAAGTTTATTCCAAGCATTTGTTGGATTGATTATGCATTTACTCTTTCTACGAGAAAGAAATATTCTAAATGATTTTAGATTTCTTAATGACGTTTTTCATACTTATTTTGGGATTAGTGGTGGTTCTGTGTGTCTGCAGTCTTGTCAAAATAATCTCTGGTACAGATTTCTTTCCCTGAGTTAGATGGAACTTCCCTTATAAACTCCCTGTATTTAGTAATAAGTATTTAGGCAGTTAGTGCGCATACAAGTAGGTTGATATTGAATTCAATTAACCAAAATATCCAGTAGAATATATTGTCTCCCCTTGAAAGCGGGGTACAGGTATATCAATTTCTAAGTCTGTCTGTCCATCCGTCTGCCTGTACATGTTACAATTTCCTTTCAATGCGATTTCTCAAACAGCATAATGAAACAGTGAAATTTCACACAACTCCCCATGGCCTAAGAAAGGCCTGTATTGATTTTGACGTCAAAGGTCAAGGTCATAAATTCAAAAATTCTGTCCTTTTTAAAACGTGCTATATCT